GATGCACAAACCCACTTAAGGACAGTCTTTTACAGGGATCCGGATTTTATATATGTATGCTGTTTTTATCCGTGGAAATAAACCATCTTTCTTTATTGGCTGCAGTGGATTAATCTGCATTTGGAGCTGTCAGAAGTAGAGCAGGCTCATCTGCTCTCTGCTTGTGAGTGAAAAATCTTACACACATGCTGTATTATTGTTAAATAGCAATATTTCACCATATATGCTTTTCATTTTATTCTTTTTTATGTACATTATCTAGATATTAAGAGTCATTTCCAGTATATGATTGTAGTAAGTGTACCACTTTTCTAATACACTAAGCCACTTTTTGGTATTAAGAACCTCTATATAATACACGGTTAAAGAGTATTATGAGTGTTTAAATACAGCACTTGTATATTTGCACAAAAATTGTCTACACTATCTCCCTCTTTTTGTACAGTGAGCTGAATTTGTATTTCACAAATAATTAGCGCACTTATTTTATGTTTTGATTCTACTGTTGGGTTTTAGGAGCCGATACACTTTATAGGTGCTGCTTTCAAATAAGGTCACTATCACTACTATAAGCGCCTTTTTTCACTTATTATATTATAGTTCTGTTAGGGGATTTAGATAGACTGGGGGACTAGGCAGTCAAATGGCAGATTAAATTTAATGTTTAAAAATGCAAAGCTATGCACTTTGGCATAAAGAATGCACAAGCAATGTATACCCTTACTGGAAGCAAATTAGGGATAACAACACACCAAAAGGACTTGGGAATTGTTATAGACAACAAATTATGCAACAATGTGCAATGTCAATCAGCAGTGGCTAAGGCCAGTAAGGTATTGTCATGCATGAAAAAGGGCATTCATTCTCGGGATGAGAATATCATTTTGCCTCTTTATAAATCACTGGTAAGACCACATATTGAATATGCTGTGCAATTTTGGGCACCTGTTCTAAAGGGTATTATGGCACTAGAAAAAGTGCAGAGACGGGCTACAAAATTAATAAAAGGAATGGAACATATCAGCTATGCAGAAAGGTTAACAAATGTAAATCTCTTTAGTTTAGAAAAACATCACCTGAGAGGGTATATGATAACATTATACAAATATATTCGGGGCCAATACAAACCATTGTGTGGAAATGTCCTTTACATAGGACACGAGGTCATGCGTTTACACTGGAAGAAAGAAGATTTTGACTAAGGCAAAGGAAAGGATTTTTTACTATAAGAACAATAAGGATGTGGAATTCTCTGCCTGGAGAAGTGGTTTTATCAGAGTCCATACAGATGTTCAAACAACAACTAGATGCATACTTGAAAAAACAGAATATTCAAGGATATAATTTTTCAATGTAGGGTAATAGCTGCTTGATCCAAGGATAAATCTGACTGCCATTCTGGGGTCAAGAAGGAATTTTTTCCTAGTTTGTTGCAAAACTGGAAATGCTTCAAACTGTTTTTGTTGCCTTATTTTGGATCAACAGCAAACCAAATGTGAGGAAGGCTGAACTTGATGGACACAAGTCTCTTTTCAGCTATGTAACTATGTATACTAGTTGTTGTAGTTTACCTGTTAGAATCCTATAGTAAAAAATGGACAGGTAACCTTGAATGCACAAAGTCCTGCAGTGCAGAGTTTCATGGGATTTTCTCAACACTGCCATAAAAAGATTATGAGAGCATCAGGGCTTGCTGCGACAATTCTGGTATTGATGAGAGACTGGCAGCAGTTTCCAATGTGAATATATTTTGTATTTGTATTGTTTAATGATAGTTAATGAGCATCTATAGATCTTAAATAATAGGACATACAATACATTGAAAGCATGGGTCACCTCTAGCCCACAGTTTAAGTGCAATGTAGATAGATCAAATAAACTTGTCATTGAAGTATGTCCTGTAATGTTTGCGTGACAGGTGCTATTAAAAGAAAATGTATTACAATAAGATTCTATAAAGCTTTCTTCAAGAGGTGAAATGAGCCAATTCTCCCAGATTTATGGCCACACAGATTGCAATCTTGAGACTGTTTGAAATTAGATTTGTTACGCAGACATCCAACATGAAATGTATAAAAAAACAAAAACAGGTGTACCATAAAATACCAACTGTGTTAAGGGACAGGCTAGGCACCATAACAGCTTCATCTAAATTAAACTGTTATGGTGCCAAGAGGCCCCTAGAGGCAAATTTGGGGTTAAACCGTTCGAAAACGGTTTAAACTCTTGAGGTAAGTGTACACACGGAGGCCTCCTTTGTACCATAGCAACTTCATTTAGATGCAGTTTTTATGTGCCTGGAGTGTTCCTTTAAGAACATAATTTCCTTTTTCTCAGATTGAAATTCAGTCGAAGCACCAAAATCATTTCATCTTATTGATAGTATTTTGAGAGCATGGATGCTATCGGCTTTGCAGTTTAAACAACACAGTGTCTGTGAAACAGCACTGTTCAAATTTTGTAAACCCTAAACTTTAAATGGGAGTCAATAATTGAATCTATTTCATGTCTGGTGTCAACATGCAGAGTTTATTGATGCTAAATGCTGCGTGTGCATCCAAAGCTTCTCATTGTGTGTGATTGTAACCATTGCTGTGCATGTGCCATCTTCGCTATGAGAAGTATCTGATTGGAAAAGTGATCAGTCGTGGAGATTTCACAACAGGAGGATTGGGCTAAAGTGAAGACTCTGTCTCAGCACTGGAGTAAAGCTTTGCAAACAAAGAATAAAGATTAATCACGTTTTTAATATTCATTAAAAAGTCATGAGATCACAAATCTAAACAGATATATATTTCATTTTGAGTATTTATTTAAGATAAATGTTTAAATCATATTGTATGTGTTTTCTTCACATGTTTATTATATCTTAGGTCCAGAGATATTACACCACCACAATGAATTTAAAATCAAACAACCAAGATGCAATAGAAGTGCATACTTACAGCTTTAATTTAAGGGGTTGAACAAAAATATTGTATGAAATTGCAGCCATTTTCATTCACAACCCCCTCATTTCAGGGGCTCAAATGTAATTTGACAAATTAACACATAAATACATGTTAATTTCATACACAGTCTCCTTATTTCAGAGGCTAAAATGCAATTTGACAAATTAACACATAAAAAACATTTACAGGCAATGACTGCTTGAAGTCTGGAACGGATGGATATCACCAAATGCTGGGTTACCTCCTTTGTAATGCTTTGGCATTTACTACAGCTGTCTTCAGTTGTTGTATGTCTGTGGGTCTCTCTGCCTTATGTTTTGCTTCAGCAAGGGAAATAGATCAGGTTGAGATCAGGTTATTGACTCAGCCATTGCAGAATATTCCACTTCTTTGCCCCTAAAAAACTCCTGGGTTGCTTTTGCAGCATGTTTTGGGTCATTATCCAAATTTGGCTGAATGTGAGGAGACAATATATCCCTATACACTTCAGAATTCTGTCTTATATCACATCATCAATAAATACTAGTGATCCAGTGGCTTTGGAATCCATGCATGCCCATGCTTTCACACTGTCTCCACTGTGTTTTACAGATGATGTTGTATGCTTTTGATCATAAGCAGTTCCAAGCCTGCTCCATACTTTTTTTATTTTCATCATTTTGGTACATGTTGATCTTTTTCATTTGTCCAATTAATCCTCGTCCAGAAGTGGGCTGGCCTGTCTATTACTGAGACTTATGAATGGTTTGCACCTTGAGGTGGACCCTCTGTATTTGTTCTCAAGAAGTTTTCTCTTTGTGGTAGACTTGGATAATGATATGTCTACCTCCTGTAGAGTGTTCTTCACTTGGCTTGGTATTGTGCATGAGTTTTTCTTAACCAAGGATCCTGCTATCATCCACCGGTGTTGTTTTCCATGGACGTCCAGGCCTTTTTGTGTTACAGAGCATGCTGGTGCATTTTCTTTTTTTTCCTGAATGTACCAAAATGTTGATTTGGCCACTTCTAACGTTCCTGCTATTTTTTTGATGGATCAGCTTAAGGATGGCCTTTTTACTTGCATTGAGAGCTTCTTTGATTGCATGTATTGGTTCACAGCAACAGTTTTCAAATGCGAATGCCACTACTGGAATTAATTCCAGACCTTTTACCTGTTTAATTGATGAAGAAATAACAAAGAATAGCCCACGCTTGTTCATAAAACCGCTTTTGAGTCAAAGGAAAAATTATTTTTGGGCCTTGAAAAAGAGGGGCTACATAAAGAGCTGTAATTCCTAAACCTTTTCTTCAATTTTGATGTGAATACCACAATATTAAGCTGAGACTACACATTATGCCCATATTAATAATTTAACTGTAACTTGAATTTATTTTAGTAAGCAGTTGAAATAACAAAGCGTGTGCCAGTGGCGTACATACCGGGCTTGCAGGGGTCGCGGCTGCGACCAGGCCCGGCCCACCCGGTATGTACCTACGGTGGCCAGCCTCTTCTCCTGGGGGGCCCAGGAGTTGACCACTTAGCACTCCAAAAGGTAGGGAGGCAGGGGAGATTAAATTTAAAAAAAAAACATGTGTGTGTGTTAGTGTTAGTGTGTTAGTGTGTGTGTGTTAGTGTTAGTGTGTGTGTTAGTGTGTGTGTGTTAGTGTGTGTGTGTGTTAGTGTGTGTGTTATTGTGTGTTAGTGTGTGTGTGTGTGTGTGTTAGTGTGTGTGTGTGTGTGTTAGTGTGTGTTTTGTGTGTTAGTGTTAGTGTGTGTGTGTTAGTGTTAGTGTGTGTGTGTGTGTGTGATAGTGTGTGTGTGTCTGCTAGTGAGTGTCAGTGAGTGTGTCTGTTATTGAGTGTGTGTCTGCTAGTGAGTGTCAGTGAGTGTTACTGTGTGTGTCTGTTACTGAGTGTGTTTGTGTGTGTCTGTTAGTGAGTCTGTTTGATGTCTGTTAGTGAGTGTGTGTTTGTCAGTGAGAGTGTATGTTTTGTAAGTGCGTGTGTATGTATGTCTGTCGCTGAGTGTGTCTGTCAGTAAATATGTGTGTCTGTTAGCTAGTGTGTATGCGTCTGTTCGTGAGAGTGTGAGTGTGTGTGTGTCTTCAGCACTTACCTTTCTCCAGCGCCGGACTCCCTTGGCGCTGGGTATCCCTCCGCCTCTCAGCTCCGAATGCGCATGTGTGGCAAGAGCTGCACGGGCATTCAAACCGCCCATAGGAAAGCATTACTCAATGCTTTCCTATAGACGTTCAGTCTTAGAATCGCAGCAGCTCCTCTAGCGGCTGTCAATGAGACAGCCACTAGAGGCTGGATTAACCCTCAGTGAAACATAGCAGTTTCTCTGAAACTGCTATGTTTTCAGCTGCAGGGTTAAAACTAGAGGGACCTGGCACCGAGACCACTTCATTGAGCTGATGTGATCAGGGTGTCTGTAGTGGTCCTTTAAGTGTGTGTGCATCTGCATGCACAAGCGTACATACATACCGCGGTCGCAGGGGTCACAGCCCTGCAACCCCTGCGACCAGGTGCCCGCCGCCATGTGTGCCCTTATACCCCCTGCACCAACTACAGCCCCTACCCACAGGCACCCTCTAGAGCCCTTATACCCCCTGCACCAACTACAGCCCCTACCCACAGGCACCTTCTAGAGCTCCTATAACCCTTGAACCAGCTACAGCCCCTGCGACCACTACAACCCTTATTACCCCCTGCAACTACTACATTAGCCTACCCCTCTGCCCCCACTACTTAAATAAAAAAAAAAAAAGTAAAAACACAAGCAGTTAAAGGGACACTATAGTCCCCAGAACAACTACAGCTTAATGTAGTTGTTCTGGTGTCTACTGCCTGTCCCTGCAGGCTTTTTAATGTGAACACTGCACAGGAACACATCTAGTGGCAGTCACTCAGATGGCCACTAGAGGTGCTTCCTGGGTCAGTGCTGCCTATTGTGAAACATTGATTCAATGCATCTCTATGAGGAGATGCTGATTGGCGCAGGATAGTGTTTTGCCATGCATGTGCAATAGCTTTCCTATAGAAAATCATTACATTGGCCGAGATCATCTAATTTTATGATCTCAGCCAAGGAGGCGGAGTGGGGGCGGGGTCAGCCATGAGGAGACCCAGGCAGTGTTGGAAAAAAAGGTAAGTATACACCTTTTTAACAGGACAAAAAGGGTGACTGGGCACCTAAATGGCTATTTTAAACCTATAGCGTCAGGAATACACATTTGTTCCTTTAAGGTGGCTTGTAGTTTTCAACACCTGATTTGTATTTCAAGACGCAAATTTGGAGGCCTGCATACCTCATACAAACACATTGCCACAATTCACACACACACCCTTGTACATACTGCCATGCTACACAAATACACATATTAATACTACCCTAACTTGTATTTAAATATTCTCTGAATCCAGATATCCTGACACTACACAGAGACATACATACACCAGGTACTTACAGCAGGGCTCACAGTGAAGATAAACACAGAAACATACGTTCGTTTTACATACTCATACAATCAAATACACGGTACATCTACATTAGCATATATATCGGTCTGCAGGGAGCCCAGGTCCTAATTTTGCCTGTCGGCCCAGGTCACAGTCAGTCCGTCCCTGTGGATGCCTATAGTGTAATTTTAATGAAACCATGTGTCCTTTACTTTAATTCAGTTAAACATTTCTCACTTCAACTCTGCTGCAAGTAAAACAGCATATCATTTTGTAAATGGAGTAAAAATCTTAGAAAACATTTATAGCCTACATTTTATCTAGAAAACGTGTCTCAACAATATCTGTAATTCGTTAGTGTAGCCAATATTAAAGTGACTCTGTCACCACCCAACCAAATTTGCGCATTTCTTAATAATAATATCATTATGAAATGCTCATAAACACTATGTTGGCATCAAAGCTACTCTTGATGTTCAGAGTCAGATTTACCATTAGGTTGTGTAGGCACCTGCTTACAGGCACCTGTCATGTAGAGGGCACCTATTTACAACACTTATAATGTGACTTTTTTGGAGCTTAGCTGGGCTGATAAGAAAAGATTAGTAGCAGGAGTCTTGGCCCATGTCCCCTGTAGTCTAGTCAGTCTCCTACTCTTGATATCACGGCTGCAGGAACAGTTACAGAGGGTAAAACCCAGTGCGGCCCCAGCTCCTCTAGTGTCTGTGTGTGAGGCTAGACAGGATGTGAAAGGGGTAATTTCTCATCTGCCAACTAACAGCCTCTTAAATAGGAAATGATTTGCAGTAGCTTGAACAGCAGTTCCTACAATTCAACTATAAATCATAGGAGGGTGAGTATTTTGCAAGTAACTCTTCAAACACCATATGCCTGCATTACCTTGCTGGGGAGCAGCTTTGGGGCTGAAGCCTGGATGTGAGGCTCTCTATCCTCAGATCTCTACAGATGGAGGATGAACAGGAAACTATTATTTTACATCAGGCAGCTAAGTCTCACAGCAGGTGCTAAATCAATAGTACTGTAGTGCTCCCCTAGGCTTCTAGGGAGGAAGGGTTGGGACCCCCAAGCTAACAGGTGGGGAAGGTCAGTCAGAGTGTTGGATGTTCAACTTCATTGATTAGTGTTGTTAGGCAAGACTGCATTGTCTTCATTCCAGCTATATTTCATTGACACTCTGGCTTGCGTAGGTGGTAAGGTTTATCTAGAGAGGCGGGTATGTGGCTCCTAAGGTGGAGCTTTAGTACAGAGGTCATTGAGTTTTACCTGAGACTCAAACCGCAGGTGCTTCTGGAAGTTAGCAACGTATATAAAAGCATAAACCATTAAATCTGCCCAGGTGTCATTGACCATTAACTCATCCCTGAATATTATCACAAATATTGCCTTGTAAAATTACTTTTTAAATAGTAATATAGCTGCTCTCTGCCCTGACCACATAAAAAAATCGTGTCAAAACTAAAAAATTTTAAAGTTATGCAGTATTAGCAATAGTCAGTGGAATTTTTTCATTAATCAGCTATTTCTCAAACCCGTTTCCAAAATTCATATTAAAATAACTGATTTGATTAATATAAGCAAATGATCCAAGTGATTATTTTTGCAATTTTGCTGTTTTGACCTAAGCTAGTTCTAAAATCACCAGGCCATGCTGTTCAGTGAATAGACCTCAATGCATTTATTTTGCTTTAAATAAGAAAAATGAAAAATGCTTTAACAGGGTGCCTAGGGATAGGGGCTGTAGTTGGTGCAGTGGGTATAGGGGCTCTACAGGGTGCCTGAAGGTAGGGGCTTTAGTGTGTGCAGGAAGGGGAGGGGCTGTGGTGGGTGCAGGAGGGGAAGGGGCTATAGTGGGTGCAGGGGCTGAAGTGGGTGCGGGGGGGGGTAAAGGATGTTGTGTGTTCAGGAGGGGTAGGGGCTTTGGTGGGTGCAGGGGTAGGGGCTATAGTGGGTGCCGGGGCTTTAGTGGGTGCAGAGGAGGGTTTAGAGGGTGCTAAGGGGTAGGGACTTTAAAAGGTGCTGGGGTAGGGAGTGTAGTGAATGCAGTGGGGTAGAGGCTGTAATGGGTGCAGGAGGGGTAGGGGCTTAAGAAGGAGCAGAGGGGTAGGGGCTAAAGTTAGTGCAGGAGGGTAGGGGCTTTAGTGGGTGCAGGGGGTACGGGCTGAAGTGGATGCAGGGGCTGTAGTGGGTGCAGGTCCATGACCGATTTGCCCAAGTGCTCAGTCCGCTCCTGGGCATCCAGACCACTTCAGTTCATTGAAGTGGTTTGGGTGCAGTGTCCCAGGTCCCTTAACCCTTAAAAGGTAATTAGTGCAGTTTTTAATAAACTACAATAATTACCTTTGTGGGTTTACTCCACCTCTAGTGGCTGTCGTCTAGACAGCTACTAGAAGGACTTCCAATCGTTAGGCGACTCTTGTATGTCCTCACGCTATGCATAAGAATGTCCAGCATCACACAAAACCCCATTGTATAATGCTTTCTTATGGGGTAAGTACTAATGCGAGCGCGGCCATCGCCACACATGTGCATTAGATCTCCCCGCTGGCTGGGGAGGAGCGCAGGAGGAGTCCGAGCAGATGGAAATCGACACTGGAATCAGGTAGTGACAAAACCCAGTCTGCACCACAGGAAGGGGGGCACTATAGGAAGTTTTTTTTCCTTGCCACTATAGTTTCCCTTAATCTGATTAAGCATCAATGCAAATTTGGTCCACAACAACTGGAGTGCCAATAAGTAGCCATCACCATAATAGGAGTACACATAGTTATCCAGAGTGCATTTTAGTAAAGCAGAACTAAATTATGTAAAAAGATATTGTACTATAAAATAAATAAATGCAAGCACGGCAAAGCAACTATAATTTGCAAGTATGCAGGCAGGGTGCGAAACAGGATTGGCTGTTGGTGTATCTGAACTGTTGCCAAGCTTTCTTGTTAAACTTGATATTGCCACAGAATCATGCCATGAGGTCACGAGATCCATCACACTGCATTCTCACTTGCTTCATGATGACATCACAACACTAGGGCTGGGCTGGCAATACGAAAAGGCATTTTTTTGAAACAATAACTTTAAAGAAGAGTTATTTAGCACCATGGGTTAGTGAGTGTGGCGAAACCAACCTCGCCACTGTACACTGGAGAAGCCTGGTTGCTCGCCTGCTCCCTTTAGACTATGGTCCTGCATTTTAAACTTTTATTTTACTGGCAGAAAGGTTTATTCGTGCCTTTCTGCTGACTGTTCAAGCCATGTTACCCCAGATAGCTAGGCCATGGAGCCCAGCCGTATACTGAAAGACTGTATGAAAGACTTTGGCTCCATGGCGATTGAACTGTATCTATGTGATCTGAGCGCCATTCGGTAGTAATGTGCACTCAGATCTAAGCTATCTGGGGATAGGTAGAATGTCTATGTTTTATGGAATAAAGGTAACTGTATGTAATTTTATGTCTTTTATTGTATTGTTACTGCCATGTGGTTAATGGAGTCTTGCCTCTGTCCTGGGAGATAATTGGATTACTTCACTTGTTTTATGGTTCTCCTGTAAACGATTGGTTGTACTGTGTCCCACCCTGTGGGATGTCCCCTTGCATGGGGACTTGCATAAAAGCCAGTGTGTGGCCATTACAGAGAGTTCCTGCTTAACCCTCAAAGTGAAGTGTCGTCTCATTATTGGGGAAGGAGTTATTGTATGCTGTTCCTGTTTGATTGCCAGGAGTGTAAGCTGATTGTAGGCTTTTCCTTTTCGTCTGCCAGCAGCTATTCGTGTGTCTCCAGTTCGGGAGTTTCCAGTATTCCCTTGGTATGCAGT